GTAGACATGATGTAAAGTTTTACATTGTGAGTTGGTGCATATTTGATCACATGAGTTATAACACAATGGTTATGTCATGCAGTTGCCAGAATTCACTTTTATTATGATCACAGTGAGTGTTTTGTTGGTGCAATATTTCATTTTTAAGATGTGACGTTCTTGTGGCTATGACTATGAAGATTGCTGTCTTGTGGGATATGTCATGCACTTTGTAGATTGGTACCAACATTTAGGGGGACCGTGGCTGCGCCATAGCTCAAGTGGTTAGTCACTGGCTTCCCACCACATCGACCCGGGTTCAATCCCGGGTCTGGTCAAGTGGGATTTGTGGCGGACAAAGTGGCGCTGGGGCAGGTTTTCTCTGAGTGCTTCGGTTTCCCCTGCCAAAAACACAATAGACCACTGTAGGTCGCGGTGCAAGTGCCGAGAAGGCCTACCCCTCATACATCATTCATTCCCTTGCCAATCTTCATTCCACCAATTGCTTCACAATCACCCCCCCCCTCGCCTATCACCTGTGGCTGGTGCAATAGGCCAGAAGTGGCTGCAGTACAAGGGACTTAGTCCCACCCCATTAGCAATAAAAAGAAATAGGGGGACTGTGATGCCTTAGTCTCCTTTCCTGTAGTTGGAAGTAGCACATTCCTTCAAAATATCACATCCTAGAAGGCAAGATTCATCAGCATTTTCTATGTTTATAAATGTATTCAGTCCTGAAGTTGGAGGCAGGACTTTCTCCAAAGTTCTGGAACATTGAGTAGGATGTAAGATTTTGTATGAGTCATAAGACATCTGGCAACTTCAGGGCTGTTTCAGATATGGAGAAGGTGATATAAATTGTGAGATATAATTGTTGTTTGACTGTTCAGAAGGTAGCTGAATAGGCAGATTGAGATGGATGTTGATTTTAAGATATAACGCTGTGTAGTCTCACAGATGTTCTAATGTTTTGTTATCTTGTGGCAGAACAAGCAGCACTAGTGCCTGATTGTTCTACTTGCTTTTGACGTAACGACACTGCAAGTTAGTGACTTTAGGAGGGGTCAAAGGATACCAGTACTCTCCTCTGGGTTATGACCCAATGTATTCTGGTTGAAGTTTATTGGCATTTTGGAGGAACATAATGCTTCCATCTACAGGGTCAAAAAGTAAGTCAACCAAGTAAGCAGACCTGAAGCTGGAAGTAGTGTGCCCCTCCAGAATGTCAGTAAACACCCCCAGAAGATAGTACTCTTTGTCACTGCTATGAGAACCTCAAATGCGGATTTCTTGTCCTTTGAAATCAGTCTTTTTATACACGTACATTTTGTTTCTGTACTCTGAAAAATGATTTTGCTGTCTGATTCAGCTGGAGTTTGAACACATGTTAATATATTGTGACATATTTGCGCTATGCAGGACACCCCCCCCCCTTCCCCGCGGTGACATAACAGCATCGGAGCACTGCTGCTGCTATGGTAACAGGCCAGTCAACACTCCGCCCCCCCCACCCCGTGGTGACGTAACAGCACTTCCCACTGTGATGTAACAGGGGACACTGCTGTAACACGAGGCAAGAGGGAACGATATAAAAAGCTGGCTCTGCAGGATGTGAGGAGAGTGTGTGATCAGGAGTGACACAGTGTGGATCGTGAAGTTGCTGAGTGCAGCAGAAATCTAGCTGTCGCCAAGAGCAATGGATGTATTTGTGATACTGCTGATAACAGTAATTGTAATTGTGAGTGTTCAATAAATTCACTAGATCCAAGACCGCATAAAGTTATTTGTCGCGTGACCTGCCCAACATGTGACAATTTTAAGAAAATTGATTAGGATGAAAAATTAACCTCTCTGTTTTAATGAATAAATGGCTCAGTGGGTATAGCAGTGAAGTTACAGGCTGGACAGCTGAAAAGTTGGGGTTCCATTTTCAACAGGCGCAAGACATTATCTCTTCTTCATAGTAAGATACAAAACATACAAGAATGTACCATCTACACAGCAGCACTCTGTATTTTATAAACAAATAAGACACTACTGTATCAATATTTGTTTTATTAAGGCTTTTACGGACGTGACATATTTCAGCCCCTATATCAGGCCATCATCAGGCATACAGTGTTCGGCTTCAAGATGCTGAACTGCATCCAGTTACCATTCAGTTTACTAAATAAGGATCCTTATTGTGTTTTTTGGATTTAATTCAAATTTATGTCTCATTCGAGACACACAACAGGATGCAAACTATTAAGATTGTAATTGCTTCTTCATAGTGTCCATGTTGGCTCTGGGGTGCATTTAGCCTCCTATACAAGGTGCCACGAAATAATATCTGGACTCACCGCAAGATGACACCACTGCTCCTAGACTAGAGTCACTGTCATTTCCTACTGGAATAGTGTAGCATGTGTGATTGTTGAGTAATGTCTTGTTAACTACAAGTATGTGTTGTTCCACCTGTGGTTTTTGCATACCCAGAAGTGGCAGACTCAAAATAACAGCATGTCTATATAAAATTTTGCTTTAAAAGGGGGGAAAATGCTACATAAACTTTTGAATGTTGGAAGTATGTTTTGGAGATCAGACAGTGAGAAGAATATGAAGGACACAGGTTTTGAAGTGGTTTTCCTAGTTCGTAAGCTGTGTGACCTCTGTTGAATATTCCAGATGCTTCCCTGAAGTTGATAACATATTGGGAATTTCATTTGTATCAGTTCAGAGCATTTTGAAAGACAATCTGAATTTGTGCTCTACCTGCTGAGTGAGAAGTAGAAGGCGAATTGTATCGCCATGTGCTGTGACCTTCAAGGGAGGCCTGAAAGAGGGCCAGAATACCTTTCAGAGATAGTTATAGATGGTGAGACTTGGGTTCACGTGTGCAGGTGCAAGTACAACCCAGAAATGAAGCAACAGTCGCCTCAGTGGAAGAACCCATTATCTCCACCACAGAAAAAAAAAAAAAGACAAGTATGCTGAAATCTGCTTTTTTCAACATTCAATAAGTCTTCATTATGAACTGTTCAACAAGCACGAACTATAAACCATCCTGACAGCATTGACACATTTTGGTGTCTGAAAAAAATGTGCAGCGAAATTACTTGAAAATTAGCATTCAGGACAACGGTTTCTTCACAATGGTGCTCACTCTGCTTTGTCTGTTTGTGAAATTCTGGCTAAAAACAATGTTATTGTCATTTCACACCCTCCCTGCTCACCACATTCAGCACGGTGTGACTTTTTTTTACCCAAAACTCAAGATGTCATTAATAGGAAGGCGATTTAATGATGCCACCATGATTTGATCAGAATTGCAGGAAACACTTGCCAAATTTGAAACAGTTGACATAGGAAATGCTTCGCACAGTGATGTGTTTGTTATGCTCGCTGTATAAAGTCCCAAGGATACTGTGATAGGAAAACATAGATTAGAATGTAAGTGCTTTTGTCATGGAGAAATAAATTCAGTCGCTCACCAGACAATGGACATTAGGTGCTCCTTTGCCCAAGGTAAAGTAGCAGGGGCATGATGCTGTTCATTCATCTACATCTAGTGCTGAGGCTAACAATTGTGGAGCTATATCTCCACTCTCCCATTTGTCTTCATAGCATGGTGCTTAATTAATTAAACCCAGGAATAATTATATTTGTCCCTAAGTATGAATATGTGGTTTTCTGAAATTCTTTTGTATGTCTGTATGCAGTATCTGCCTGAACACTCCAGCACTTGTGTTGTTTTCTTGCTTGGGATTCACTAATAAGTATATCCTTGCACAGGGGACCTACAAATACCCTCTGATATCTTAAAAATGCAAGAGAATCCTGTATATGTATGTTGAAACACAAAATGGAAATTTTCTCTGAAATGATTTTAGCAGTTTATAGATAGCAGAGTCCTGAATAATAGTGTCCCAAACAGCAATAGTATCACAGACATGTTGTACTCAGTCTGTAACTAACTACATGGACCTACTCAGTCTGTAACTAACTACATGGAACTGAGTCCTTGGGAAGCCACCTGTCGCTCAATTACATGAGAACTGTCAACATTTTATGGAACCCGAAGGTTCATTACCGTGTTCACAACAGCTCTCCACTGGTCCCTATCCTGAGCCAGATCAGTCCAGTTCATACCACCCCAACCTGTCTCTCCAAGATCCATTTCAGCATTATCCACCCACCTACATCTTTGTCTTCCTAGTGGTGCCTTTCCCACTAAAGTCCTATATGCATTCCTCTTCATCCCCATGCATGCTACATGTTTTCCCATGTCATCCATCTTGACTTGATCATTTTAATTATATTTGGCAAATAGTAGAAGTTATGAAGCTCATCATTATGCAGTTTTCTCTAAACTTCTATGATTTTATCCATCTTCAGTCAAAATATTCTCCTCAGTACCCTGTTCTCAGACACCCTCAGTCTGTATTCCTCCCTTAATGTCAGAGACCAAGTTCCATGCCTATACAGAACCACAGGCAAAAATGTAGCTTTGTATATTCTGATTCTTATGTTTTTAAATAGCAGACAAGCAGACAGAAGATTCTGGACTGAATAATAGCAAGCATAACCCATATTCAGTCTCCTTTTAATTTCCTCCTGAATAAAATTTTGATTTATTACTATTGTTTCCAAATATTTGAACTGTGCCACATTTTCCAGACATATGTTAGCTATCATTATGTCATGATTTTGCCCTGCATTCTGGTGACAAGACAGCAGCATATATGTAGTTTTCTCTATGTTTACTTCTAGACCAGCTTTCTTACTAGCATTAATTAAAATTCCTATGTTTTTCTTTATGGTCTCTATGTTATCACCCAGTCGATTCAAATCATCAGCATAGAGCAGCAACTGATGTGTCCCATTTATTTTCAGGCCCACCTGGTTTTCCTGGACCTTCCTAAAGGTGTATTCTAAAGCAAAGTTGAAAAGGAGTGGAGATACAGCATCTTCTTGTGTATTCAGTCTACAGCAATGTTTAATGTACAGTGGATATGAGTTTGTATATTGTTTACTTGTAGGTGTTGCAGAATTGGTTTGACTTTGAAATTGGAGGAACCATGAGACTGGAAGATGAGGAGGAGGAGGAGGAAGAGGAGGAAGGGGAAGGAGAAGAAGAAGAGAATTATTGCAGAGACAGTATTGTTACTGGGACCAATGAGAAGGTAAAATTGAACATATCTGATGTTTTGAACAACCAGTGGAGACCCTGTTGTCAACACTGCATTATACAAGGTAATACCAAATGTCAGAGAATTATCCTGAAATAAGGCATTTGCTAATGCAGGTGCTATGACTTTTACAAGTTAGTTGATGATAAAATATATTTTTATAAAGTAAATTACCTTGCATACACCATCATATGTTTTGCCAGTGCATGTATGGAGATTATTTAGTGAAGATGTTTACATGAAAGTGGTCCCCTGAATTGCAACACCATGTAGTTCAGACATAGTTGTTGGGCTGTCTCTGTACTTTATGGCATTACTACCCCCAGAATACCACACTCTTTGCAGTCACTGCCATGAGAATCCCAAATCTAACAAGATGTTTTATCAGTATCGTCCTTTTCAATATTAGGCCTCCTTGTGATTCATGGGTTATCTTACTGAGCCAATCCTGAGCCAGTTTCTCTTACTGGATGCTCTCTGATTCTCCAGAGTCTGAAATCTGTGAATAGCTGATGTACTGTCTCATTGTACTCCCATTTTTTCTCCAGTGTCTGATGAATGCTAAAGATCTGATCAGTAGTTAATCTGTTATGTTGAAACCCACACTGATGTTCCCCAATAATTTCATCTATGTATGGACTTAACCTTGAGAGAAGAATATTTAATAAAATGTTATATGAAGTAGATAGCAGTGATATGCTACTACAGGCAGCAAGGCGTGTGAATTATGCTTTCAATATGACTATGCAAATATTTTACCTTTTTCTTTTGGTTGAATTGTACTAATGAGAGTAAAATGTTTGTGTCATTTTCTCTTACAAATTAGATGAGACAGGAGAACCTGAATCATACACAGGATGTAATTGTACACCTTTACTATTGTTACATTATAACAGGTTGGCTGTAGTCATAAAGCATCAGATTCAGAAGTCGAGTTGCAGGAATTACAGGATGTGATTCAATTGGTGCGGGAAGGACCTCCCTCTCCCTGCCCATTATTGCTGTACACAATAATGAACTCTGATAACAAGTGAGTAGAATGCAGTGCACACATCAGAGTTTAGCAAATAGGTCCTTGTACAAGATTTAAGGTTTTGAGAGCGGTGAAAATTTTTGGTCATGACGCTGTGTAGTGTTGTAAATGGTTTGCAACATTTTGAAGGAACCTGCTGCTTCTATTGTTTAGGGCCGTAAGGACAGAAAGTATGTTCCTAAGAAATATTTTTATGTATTTGAGACACTGTGTGATGCCAAAACCCGGACCACAAGCTGAAATGTCTTTGTCTGAACTTGTGCAAAAGAAATCTTCCACACTGTGTGCAAGATACATGTGTGCTTGTATTTGGTGCATGAGACACATCTTGCAAGACTGCAGTGAGTCAGAATTGGTGGGAAAGGGTAGTGGATCTACACAGGAAGGTATATGCTTATTTGACTAACTAACAAACTCATGGAGCTGAGTCCTTGGGAAGCCAGAAGTCAGTCAATTACATGAGAAGTGCCAACATTTTATGGAACTCAAAGGTTCATTGCCATGTTCGCAAGAGCCTTGCACTGGTCCCTGTCTTAAACTAGATGCATCCAGTCATTGCCATCCCATCATACTCTGTATGATTCATTTCATTATTATCCTCCCATCTATATCTGGGTCTTCATAGTGGTCTTTTTCCTTCTGGCTTTCCCATTAAAATCCTATATGCATTCTGCTTTGGCGCCATGCATGTCTTGCTCATCTAATCCACCTTGGCTTTTTATTTTAATTGTATTTGTTAAGTAGTACAAGTTTTGAAGCTCCCTATTATGCAGTTTTTTCTAAACTTCTATGATTCTGTCCATCTTCAGTCCAAATATTCTCATCACCATCCTGCAGTCAGAGAAATTCTGGGGATAGTTCAGGTACCCAGGGGAAGTGGAACATGCACAATTGGAAGCCACTACCAAGCAACCAGCAGATAATATGTCCCATTTAATTTTAGTTCAACCTAGTTTTCCTGGACCTTCGTAGTGACATATTCTAAAGCAAAGGCAATAAAGCATCTGCTGTTTTCAGACTGCTTTGAATGGGATTAAATATCAGACAAATGTTTACATACACAAACTTTAGTATAAGTTTCACTTAAACACTTTTCAATTAGCTTAAGCTGGAACTATCCTGTTGAGCTCCTGATGTCTGTCATCTGTAATCATGCAGAGCTAAAAATCTCCAATCTATACCTAGCCAAAGTGTGGCCTGGATGAAGGATATGAGGGGAGGATTCCTTCTGCTGTCCATATATCTCGCATGTGTCACTTTCTAGGAGGCCCATAATGTGTGTAGTTGGCATCTCAGTATACAATGGCCAGTTGGCAACCCCATTTCCAGTCTACATTTTTTCTTGTCCAAGGCCGTTCTTCCCTAGACAAGCTATGTGAACATCCTTATGGCCACAGTGAATCCAGAAATTCCGCCATGCTGTGTTGGGCAAGACCATCCAGAGGTCTCTGGGCTTGTCCCATCCTGTCCCATTGTAGGTAGAGTTGCTGAATATCTTCAGGGACTCTTACAATAGTCCTTTTTTATAATTGCTGCCCCCACCCCACAGAGGCCCACATGTTGGGGGATGTCACCTCATATCCCAAGGGCACCACCACCCTTAGTCCGCTAGTCCAGCCCTCTGTTTCTAGGGATGACCACTTTGAGGTAGCTGGGGTGACTTGGTCCCCATAGCAGAGATGAAAGAAGTATAGTTTACTCTATATATGGAGTCACTTCATAGCCTGCACAAAGTTACTACTGGAATGTACTGGACATGGGTTGTATCTGGTAGGTCCTGTAGAAGATGAGATGTGATAAACTTTATAATGTTTTATGCTATCTGTTTTAACAGTCCCTACTTGTTCTTGCTCTGAGAAGTATGAATTGTTTTCCTTATATTCTGCCGGACGCACTCAGCTGATATGTATATAAAGCAGGAATAGAGATGTGTACGGTATTCATGTCAGCTTTTCTGTAACTGGACAAGTAGGAATACTGAATTTCTTCATTTCTTTAAGTTAAGTGTTCATAAAATTGTGCAATCTAAAATAAAAATTGAAGTGGCCTGACAGTTTGTCATAAAATTCTCCAGCTCATTGTAAGGTCTCTCATGCATACAGACAGATTAGCCAGGCAGACAGAGGTTCGCAGATAAGCCAGGAACTGGATAATCTATGCCCAAATAACCTGAAGTTTACTGCAGTTGCATCAGCAGATCCCAAGCCAAGAGAGTTAAACTATATATGAATATATTGTCGTGTGTTGGGGTGACTATGGAATGGGGTTTTGGATTGGGTGATTAGTAGGGACCAGATTTTAATGCAAATGCATATTTCATTCTTGCTACCAGGAAGTATGCTCATTTAGATATATGTATGAATTACTCCATTTCTTAAATTTTGGACATGGTTTGATGGTGTATATAAATGCATATTTTGTCTGTTTTATGAATAAGCATCATATTTTCAAAGATCTATATTTATACTGCATATTTCCTTTTTGAAAAGTTTATCATATATATTGTGATGTGTTGCGCAATGGTAATAGGCAGGTCAACATCCTCCCTCCCCTCCTACCCCCCGCCAGCGGTGATGCACCGAGCGGAGCCGAAGTTAGCCGAGTCCCAGCATCCTGGTAGGTATGCAACACGAGTCAACAGCGGTGACGTCATCAAGGGAAACCGCAGTTGCTAGGCAGCAGTAAACAACTCCGGACAGTGTTGCTAGCAACACGGCGCCAGGCAACAAGGGTGCCTATTACGTAGCCGTGTTCTGTGTTGTCCGGATCAAGGCTACATAAGGAGCAGCAAAGTCTATTCACAGTTCTCAGTTCCGAGCAAGCCTACGAGTTCTCAAGGCATCAGTTACGAGTTAACAAGCAACCAGTCAGTTGTATTCTGGCATCTGCAGTGTAGTATTTGTGATACTGCCGATGGCAGTAGTTGTCAGATTGTAATCTGGGTGATTGTAAGTGCAAATGTGAAATAAAATTCGCTATATTCAATATGGCGTGAAGTTATTTGTCGCGTTATACACCCAATACGTGACAAACTGGTGTCAGAAGTGGGATACGAACTTATACACGCGAAAAGAACATGGAGATACAGCGAATAATCGAAATGCTGGCGAAGGCAGAGGCCGATAGAAAAATCGAGAAGGAAGAAAGGAAGGCGGAGAAGGAAGAAATGCTGAACGAGATTAGGGCAAACGAAGTGAAAGCAGATGCCAATCGGAAAAAAGACAGAGAAGATTTCCTGACAAAATTAGACGTCAACCAAAAACAAATCGACGTCATGCTGACAAAATTAGACGCCGACTTCAATGCCTGGCAGGAAGAGACGACAGCCTGCCAGGATGCAACAGAAAAATCCAAGAGGAAGAGCGGTTGTAGTTAACCGACAGTCGATTCCTAACGAAGACAATGAGACATTGGCCTGCCGAGCAAGAAAGGCACAACAAGAAGAGGTCCCCAAAATAATACCGGTTGGAGAGACGATAGCCTGCCAAGAGATGGAGGCACATCTAGAAGAAGAAAAGCCGGCCCCAGTGGACATGAAACCTGAGGCGGCAGAATTACAAGAGGTACCCATAGAAGACACCGAAGTAATACCGGTCAGAGAACCGAAGAAGAAGAAGAAGAAGAAGAAGAAGAAAAGGCTTAGGGACCGAAACAAGCGACAAAAGAAAGTTTCGACATGGAAAAATTGCGGACCCCAGAACAAATTGGCCGTCGTTCGCAGGAAGGTGTTCCGCCATGCAACAGTGGCATGGCATCGAAGGAAAATTGTCAGAAAAACTTGGACCCGAGGAGACTATGAATCCCGGATGAAGCTGGCTGCCACCTGCAGGAAGACATCCTGTCGCATGACAGTAGCACGATGTTGGAGAAATGCCTTCAAGAAGGAAACTCCCCAGGGAACCTTCGGATGCCAGACGGAAAAGGTGACAACCAAGGACGTCATCGGAGGGTGTAGATCAGGACAGCGATCGCACCTAGAAGGGAGAATTTGTAAGAAGACCATCTATGAGATTGTCAGCGTGAAGATCGCGAAGGGAATGGTCGGATCTTCTGTCAGCCTACGGCAACACAAGGATTGGAACTTATGGAGGGGTAGACCCCCTCCAAAACGGAAAAGGAAACTCCAGTAAGAGGAGGACCCGGTAAGGTAAAAGAACGGGCCTCCCAAAAAAGTTTGAAGGGGGACAGAAGAGTGGGATACAACTAGATCATCTG